TCTGCCTTTCTTGGCTAGTAGTAAATCTGGTAAATTTCACGCCCTGACTGACAATACCTCCTCTCTCTTCTAGGCCATGAAACAGTTTTGTTATTTTTATCAACAATGAGAAATTGGCGGTTGTTCCCAGCTACATCTACAATACTAAGGATACCAAAAAGCTCCCTAGTGTTCAGGGCTCATATTGTGTAACTGATTGTAGGTGGAACATCCCTGCCTGCTCTTCCTTTCTGAACGCTCATTGCCTTATCTACAAGTAGCTCGAGTCAACTTTGGCTGGAAAGATGCACGCTTAGGCCTTGTCTACACTGCCACTTTACAGCGCTGAAACCTTCTCGCTTGGGTTGTGAAAAGACACCCCCCAAGCGATGCAAGTTTCAGCGCTGTAAAGTGGCAGTGTAGACAGAGCACCAGCGCTAGGAGCCGTGCTCCCAGCACTGGTAGCTACTCCCCTCGTGCAGGTGGGTTTTTTACAGCCCTGGGAGAGCTCTCTCCAGCGCTGGTGCCGCGACTACACAGCCACGTTAAAGCGCTGCCGCAGCAGCGCTTTAACGGTGGTAGTGAAGACATATCCATAGTTTATTCTACAATAAGTGCTCTCTCCTGTGAGATGTTAATACAGGGATGGCCAGCCTGAGAAAGAGCCAGAATAATTTACCAATGTACATTGCCAAAGAGCCACAGTAATACATCAGCAGCTCCCGCCCTCCAGCGCCTCCTGCCCGCTGGCAGCCCCACCAGTCAGCGCCTCCCGCCTGCCATAATCAGCTGTTTTGCATGCACAGGAGGCTCTGGGAGGGGAGGGGGGAGGAGTGAGGGCATGGCAGGCTTGGGGGAAGGGGCAGGGGCCTTGGGGGAAGGGATGGAGTGGGGGCAGGGCCTGGGGCAGAGCAGGGGGTTGAACTGTGAGCACCACCCGGCACATTGGAAAGTTAGCAGCTGTAGCTCCAGCCCCGGAGTCAGCGCCTATGCCAGGAGCCGCATATTAAGCTCTGAAGAGCCGCATGCGGCTCCCGAGCAACAGGTTGGCCACCCCTGTGTTAAAAGCTTAACCAAATTTGCTGACTTAGTGGTGTTTATTAAGTGCTAATAGGGGGGATAAAAGCGCCCCAACAAGAGACCTAAATATCCACGGCTCATTCTCCGAACAAGCCCAGATAATCCCGTTTCATCCAGTATGGAACCCCTGGACCCATTGAAGTCAATGACAAAAATCCTATTGACTTCAGTGGGGTCAAGATTTCACCCAAAGTATTGAAATATCAAAATTTAACTATATTGAGTCTGATATTTAGAATTCTTATTCTAGGAAACTATGGTCCCTACTGTGTAACCACTGCTTTCACACCCAGCATCTTCCCAACCCTGCACCAGCACCTTCCCCCAAAACCTACATAGATTAAACCAAGGAGAAAAACCCACAATGGAACACAGTGGGGAAATGAGAGCTCAGCAGTTTGCAGGTCACATTTATGGGACAAAGAGCTGCAGCAAACACCAAATAGTCTCCAGGGAGATTCCTTGCACAGTTGAGCCTTTAGATAGGCTGATGAAAGATTAATGTTTCACGATAAGAGAGCAGTACAATACTGTATAGGATATTAGAATACCGTTAAAATATTTCCTTATAAAAAAAATCAAGTGTCCTGTGTTTCTAATGGTCTCTGCATTTAGCATTAGCCTCTGTTTTTACAGAAAGTTACATGTTGGTAATTAATCTCAAGTTCATTTCCTGCACATGTAAGACAGCACCCTTTGTTAGGGAATGATAAGACACTTCTAAGAATAGTAATACTAAGAGTGTCAGCTTTGTGAGACATTACAGGAAAAATACAGACTCCAACACCTGTTTTTCAGTTTTCACGGGCTTCAACATAATTTTATCCTTATTTACTGCCAAATTCGGACTTTGTTTATGCTCACAAAACCTAACTGAGTTCATGGGGTACAAGTGTGAGGCCATGTCTACACTTTACGGGTGATACAGCGGCACTGCTACAGTGCTGTAGCTATGTCGCTGTAGCTCCCATATTGTAGACACTTCCTACAGCAACTGAAAGGGGTTTTCTGTCATTGTAAGAACTCCATCTCCCTGAGTGATGGTAGCTAGGTCTAGCTGTGTCTACATGGGGTTAGGTCGGCATAGCTACAGCACTCAGGGGTGTGAGATTCATAGCTTTGAACGCCGTAGATACTTTGACCTAACTTTTAAGTACAGACCAGGCCTCAGTGAAGGCAGGCTTTCACCTTTAGGTCCTTATCCTGCAAAGAGATACATGTATGCTTAATTTTACACACAGTAAGTAGTCCCAGTGACTTCAGTGGGACTACTCACAATGCGTAACATTAAGCACCTGTAAGTCTTTGCAGTGTCAGCACACTAACGCGTAAGTTTGAAACTGAGGGTCTATTCCCTTTCCCTCAATCTACCTTTGCTCCTTATCCCATTGAAATCACTGAGAATTTCCCAATGGCTGCAATGGGTACAGGATTAGGAACCATTAGTGTGTAGAACAGGGAGAGTACCTGATCCTATGTGGGCCTCGTCCTGTACTCAGATCAGTATAAACTGGGAGCAACACCAAAGAAGTCAGCTGAGTTACTCTAGTGTAAAACTGGTGCAAATGAGCGGCACATCAGACCCATGTGTTTACAATTTGCACATAATTTTTAAAATCTGTGAAAGCTTCAGTATCAGAGTATACATTCTGACAACTGGGCACAAAGAGTGGTGCAAATCTTTGGGATTAGTATATGGTTTCTGTCCACAATCACAGCCTACAGCATTCTGTAGTAAATGGTTTATACACCTCTACCCCGATATAACGCTGTCCTCGGGAGCCAAAAAATCTTACTGTGTTATAGGTGAAACCGCGTTGTATCGAACTTGCTTTGATCAGCCGGAGTGCGCAGCCCCGCCCCCCCAGAGCGCTGCTTTACCATGTTATATCCGAATTCATGTTTTATCGGGTCGCATTATATCGGGGTAGAGGTGTACTTATACCTACAGAAGTTAATTTAAATTAGTCATTCTTTTAGCGGGTTTTTTTTGTCTTTATATCAGAAAATTGTGGTGATGAAACCATAACAGAAAAAAAAAATCTTCTAAAGTGCTTTGAGATCTATGGATGAAAAATGCTATAACTAGATATTATTATTATTACCAAAAATTACTTTATCACTCAGATTACACCACCCACACTCTAAGCGGGGGAGGGGGGGATAAAAGAAAGGATGTTAATCTTTGCTGTACTTAGAGCAGATTTGCTTCTGCTTTACTGTGAACAAGGCGGTAGTTTATCCCATTGACCAGAAAACAAACATTAATCAAGAGAAATCTAGCTAATCTAATGGCTCAGGTTTGAGGAATAATGTAGACTCAATTCCATTGGGGTTTGTAGTGCAAAATCTAGGGACAGCTTTTGCAGATTGCAGCTACGGTAGTTTTGTGAGCTGATCAGTGCCCCTGCTGCGACTATTATCTTGACTGTATAATGGGGGCTTTCAACTCCCAGCTTTGTCACATTCTGTTTTCTCTTCCTTGCCTTTTTATGAATATTGAGTCATCAAAAATAGTTTCACTGACAGAGTTTCTAATCCTACCAGCTGGATGAATCAGTGGCTTATACACTGCTGCAAAACAGTCTTAGTATGCTATTTATTAAAGAAAATACTACAAAAAACTAGATTTCCCTATTTATATGCTGTTCTCGCAAGACAGATTTCATGGGTTATTTTAGTTAGAAAACGTTAACTGAACAAAGCAAATTTAAATGCACTACCATGGTTTGAGAGGAGAAACTGATGCTTAGAATAAGTTTGATGTCAATTTTATCATCAGTAAATTACTCCTTTTCTAAAAGCAAACAAAAAGTCCATTGCAAAAGAGCTGTGATTTTATTCTTCAGAAGACAGAATGGTTCCCCATATTACTAGAAAAAAAGCTAGCATCAGCAATCCAGAAAAAAAATGCTGATAAACCCACGCAAATATGACAAATGATGTAAGCCATGTAAATGGCTACAAAATGATGATAGAAACATATGGTGGCATCCTTCTAGTCTAGGGAAGTGCTCTAGGGCAAGATAGATGTAAAGTGCATTACTTAAGTGAACATCACAAGGTTCCAAAAGACTGAACAATAACACGCCTGGATAAGGATTTTCATAAACGTGCATGCAAAATGGCCCAAGATGGGTTTAAGTTTAGTGCTGTTACAAGCAATTTTTTTTTTTAAAAAAAGGTCATTTACTTCTGCCTGGAATGCCTTCCTTTGCAGCCCTGCAGTGATACAGTTTCCTATGTTTGTACACACACCCTTTTTTTTTTGCAGAAAAACAGGCAGACAGATAGAAAATGAAACAAGGGGGCCCCGTTGCTCAGAATGCCATTGCTGCTCTCCAGGCTTGGAAATCCTGGTTTGTTTTGTTCAGTCCATTTTACCTTTTGACCATTTGGAACTTTACAGCAAGGCATCTCCTCGCACTTCTTTATGACAGGCAAAAAGTGTAGCTGGGTAAATGCAACTGGAATGTTAAATTTGGTAAACAAAAATATCACAGGCATTGGCATTATCAAGTGTCCTTGCCATTACATTAGCGTTTTAGCAAAACATGCCACCCTAATTCAAGCAAGGAGTTAAAAACCTTGGGACAGTAGGTTCTTCTTAGCTTCTGAACAAGATACCCCTGAGTGACTGTTACAAAACTGTCATAGTTATGGCAACATTAACTGAAATTGAGATGTGGTTTAAACCTAAGCTCTGTTGCATAACATACAATTTAAGTATTCTGACCTTGCGAGCCTCAAAGGTTCCTTTTAAAAGGCACAAAAATATTACTGAAAATTAAATTGCTTAATAAGCGCATCGACTTTTCTCTTATTGTTTTGGTCCCGACAAAAGCTTATATCCCCGACACATTTCAAAGCAAGAGTTAGACACGGAGCAGATGCAAAAATGCTCTTGGATGGAACAATATCAGGAGAGTCGCTTTACTTACATATCTCTTCAGTTTCTTCTCGGGGGGTGATTTAATGAGCCATCCAGTGCAAACAACGTCCCCCGAGCTCATCTTCCCCCCCTCTCAAAGAGAAGAGACACGGAATCCAGTGTGTGTGTTTGTGTGTATTGTTCCTTCCCAGCCAATTTGAAACTAGCAGCAATCGGCTTCCTTCAGCTGTGTTTCCAATGCTGCTACAGCGCAAGGAGGAAGTCACAACATTGATCACGGACACAGGCAGCTCCCCCCCTCCCACGGAAAACACAATGCAACACACAGAGCACGTGACGGGGCCGAGAGGACAGGGATAAACAAAAACAAGCGTGTGCAAAATACCCACACCCACTCTGATACTGACACGCCGCCGGTTATTCTAGCAGCTGCGGCGGGCAGAGCGAGCTCTCCCACGCCCCACGCCCACACTCTGGTGCAATAGTGTCCCTGCTGTTTAATCACCCCGGAGCAGGCGGCTTGGCACTGGGCTAGGCAGGGCGCTAACAAACACACAGCCGGGGAAGCCGGTGCGAGCCGCCAGCACAACGTTCCGAGAAGGAACCTGCTGCGGATCGGGGCGGGTCAGGGCTCTGGCCGGGGGCGGCTCCGAATTTCGCTGCATTGATCCGCACGCTAAGCAGGGTGTGGGCTTGATACACAGCAAACACCGCCTCCCTCCCAAACCGCAGGGCACCGGGTGGCGACAAGCGGGGCGCTGGAAGCCCCACTGCCTGGCAACGAGCTGCCAGCAACGCTGACCACAAACCACCGCCCGGAGCCCTGGAGGTGTCACATTGGACCGGAAGCGAGGGTGAGGGCTCTGTCTCTCTTTGAGTGAAACGAAGGGTCGCTTCTGGATTGGAAATGAAATATTCATCTATCCCGTTAATAGCGACCATCCCTGTAACCTCTCTGTGCTTCCCTATCAAATTAACTGGTCTGATCAGGTATCTAGTGGACTTCAACACAGGGGCTGGAACTAGGGGTGCTGCAGCCCCTGGCTTGAAGTGGTTTCCATCATATACAGGGTTTACAGTTTAGTTCAATGGCTCTCAACACCCCTGCTATAAAAATTGTTCCAGCATCCCTGGGCTTCAGGAGTCTTCTGCTCTTCCCTGATACAGAGGTTCCCAAGGGCAGTGGTTTTCACATTTTTCGGGCCACGTACCCCTTTCCAAATAAAGTAGTCTAGCGTGTACCCCCATCTGGTCATAAAAGATGTGATTAGATTGCCAAGTGTTGTCCCTTAGTACAGGATTTTTCTTATGTACCCCCTGGCAAGAGCTTGAGTATCTCCATGGTATGCATACCTCCGTTTGAAAAAAAACCAGTGCCCTAGAAATATATTCACCCACACACTCCCATGAGTTTGGTTATGGTGGGAAAGAGATCAGATGCTTGAAAGTGATCAGATGCTGGCTTAGTCTGAGCTTCTCTGGAAGCTCTCATCACTGCAAAGCCCACTCAGCTGGCAACGATTTGTCCCCAGCTTTCAGACTCTCGGTCCTGGGTTTTGTGAGCAGAACTGACCCAGCGGCATGCAGCTGCCTTGGTGAGTCATAGGCGACATGTTGTCATTACAGCTCGGTATTTGTACATGATGACCAGGGGAGACTGCTAGGAACAGCTGAACAAGTGAAGGTGAGGTGGAAGGTGAGACTCTTTTAAAGGAGGCAACCCCCTTTTTGGTGGATTTGCCAACGCGTGATCTGAATGTAGGACATGAATCTGACACAGTGGAGGAAGAAGTGAGACATGCAGTGCAGATTTTGAAGAACAGTAAGGCAGCAGGACCTGATGAAGTGACGGCACACCTGGTGAAGTCTTAGGCGAGAGAGGCATAAAATGAATGAGCAGAGTGGTTAAGGCCACATGGCAAGACAAGAGAATTCCCAAAGACAAGTTCAAGTCTATGTTGGTCCCAATGCATAAGAAGGAATACCTAAAAAAGGAAAGCATGCACCCACGAATGCAGAAACTATGGAGGGATAAAGTTAGTGTCACATGGAATGAATATATTGCAAGATATCTTAGATGCTAGGAGTGGGAGATTTAGGAAAGGACAAGGAACCACAGATGTGATGTTTGAAATTCAGAAAGTGATAGACAAGTGACTGGAGTGCCAACAGGATAGCTTTTACAGCCCTGTAAAAGGCATACAACAAAGTGGATAGAAGGATGATGACGCCAGTGCTGAGGAAATACGAAGTGTCTGAGAATTTAATAACTATGTTGACTGTACTATATAGATCACTTAAAACAGTGATCCAAACATGTTGTGGAATTACAAGCACCTTTGAAGGCAGAGTCGGACTGCATCAAGGGTCAGCCCTCAGTCCGCTGCTGTTTATCATGCTGATGGACTACATCAGTAGGAAGGTCCCAATGGGAAAAGGTGGGAAACTGCTATATGCAGGTGACAGTGTGATGCTTCCTGGGGTTCCCAGGGTTGTAATGCACCTTTCTACCGCCTACCCTTAGTGCGAGCAAGCCTTGTCTGTGCCCACCAGGTGTCAGCTCCCCCAGACACAGGAAACATAAGCACTCCTCTTTCAGCCTACGCAGGCTCTGCACTCCTTCTGCAGGTTAGCGATAGGTGCGTTCCTACCGCGGAGCACTCCGAGCCTCCCCCTGGCATGTTCAGCCCCTTTTCCACTGGACACTCACTGAATTCACAGATCTGCTACTCCAGAGGGACCGTACACAACAGGCTATCAGTTTTACCTCAGGATCACAGCACCACTCAACTCCCAGCACCTAGATTGGTTTATAGTGAAAACAAGGGAACGTTTAACTAAGAACAGCAATTGCAGAAGCAAATAGAATTAATGGAAACAAATGGTTATATATAAAATAAAATCACAACACACTTTCTAGAGCCTAAACTTATCTAGCAAGACATTCTCCTCATAGACTCATAGACTTAAAGGTCAGAAGGGACCATTATGGTCATCTAGTCTGACCTCCCGCATGATGCAGGCCCCAAAAGCTGACCCACCCACTTTCCCTTAACTCAGCTCCTATCTCATAAAGAATGGTTCATCCAAAGTTTTTCTCCCAGTGCTGATCAAACAGACCATCCATTCATAAGACAAGTTAGTTGACAGCTTGTCCTCTAGGTGAAGGATACCTGTGTGTACGTTTGCACCCTCAGATATAGTTTCAACCATCCATTACTTTTACTTGTAAACAGGGTACCTCCTGATGCTTGTTTTTTCCTGTATATGCTCTTCCCTGGAGACTTTGCAATCACTTGATTAGTATTTTGCTCAGACAGTAAACAGGCATTCATTGTGACATATACAATACTCCATTTACATATAGCCTGACAGAAACCTGCTTATCACCTTCTGCTGACCAATCCCAACTCACAGACCTTAAGAGCATAATTTTCAGCATATATACACATGCAACTCCTTACATACATTTCACAATGATTATGATGATCAGTGGGACACAGGCTTTCATTAGAGACTTTACATGACACCTTTTGACAAACTATGGAGGCCAGACCCACGGGATCCCTGTAACCCTGTGCACCCCAGTGCCCTCTGCCAGTGTGCACCAAGAGGTCCTTGGGTCACACATGGCGATAAGAATGTCCTCAAAAGAAGATCTAGATGAAATAGTAAACTAGTGATATGACCAGCTAAGCAGGCCTGGGGTGAAAATGAACATGACTAAGACTGAAGACATGTGGGTCAGTAGAAGTGTCATCGGGAAACTGGATATAGAGATTAATGGGGCGTGACTGAACCAGGCTGACCAGTTCAAGTACCTTGGCAGCTGGGCTATGGAAAACAGCGAGCTTGTATGAGATACAGTCCATACTGGGGTGTGCAGGAAAAGTGTGGAATAACATCTCAGGTGTTGTGTATGACAAGTGTATGCCACTGAGACTAAGCCCAACAGTACTGAACAGCGCTGTGCCTCACAAGGCTGTATGGTTCATAAGCATGGGCAGCAAAGAGACAGCAGGTTCAAAGCGTACAGGTATTTGAGATGAGATGTCTTTGAGCAATAAACTGCCTTACAGAGTTCCTCACTTTTGTGGTTAAGATTTTCTGCAGAATATGATGAAAATGGTTTATATTAGTCAGTAGTTTAGTCTGGTGCCTGCATCACAGTCTCAATTTACTCACTGCTTCCCTATGCAGAATAATTTTGCTGGCCATGATTTTGAAGCTGTGATGACAATGGAGTAGAAGGCTCTCTCTCCTTCCATTACAGCAGTGGCATAGCCCTGTAAGTAGTTGGTGATCTTGGCAGATAGATTCCAAACAGGTTTACACCAACCACATTCTAGTCTACTGCCTGTCCACTTCATTCAGTATAGTTCATTTGTGAACCCCATTGATCTTTCCAGTCAGTTCTGGAGAGAGGCTGTCTCAGGGACAGGCATTGGTGGCGATGGTCACTGGGAAATTATAGTGTTTATGAGCAAGTAGAAGCCTTGTATGTGAGTAGTAGGCCTGCCTAAGGTGTGCTGAAAATATATGGGATGAAGCAGTTCTTGGCTGAACCAGCTTTGTTGCTTCCTTTGCCTGGTAGAGGAAAAGGAAGGCCATAATCTTTGCCTGGATGAGTGTCCGTTGCTGTGTCCACACCCAGACTAAATGTCAGGTACAGAGTGTGTCTAACTGAATATGTGGGACTGGAAATGGTTTGCATGAATTCCATGGTTTTCATACAGGGGAGGAGTTTGGAAATTATGGCATCCTTGTATTGTCTACATGGAGGCTGTAGTCATCAGGAACAGTGAAACTGTGGGATTCCAGCACCGTGCTGCTCTGTTAGTTTCTCCTGAAGTCTGCCAGATCTTTGTCTGGAAATCTCTAAACCACTGAAAGCCCTAGATTTTTTTGTCTTTAGTCTCTTACCACATGGATGCATTCAGAAGTTTTGGTCATGTCTCTGTGTACTTTTACACCCCCTCACCTCTGTAGTATTTTGAGTATCTTGTCTGTGGATAGAGGGCCAAACCCTACTTGCCTTACTATGGTAGTTGTCTCACTGAGTTTAGTTAGACATTCAACGTATGCAGGATGTTTTGGTTCTCCCCTGAACATTACAAGCTGTATTTTGTTTGTTTTTAAATTAGATTTATTAACTGGAACTGCTGCGCAAGTTTGATCTTT